AGAGAGAATACGTGATTTTGTTCGTTGATGCAGAAAAAAGGAAGAAAGAAGACCCGAGAGAGAGGAAAGAGGAGAAGAGGAAAGGTTGTTATGGAGAGGAGAGAGGCAGGAAAAAGCAAAGGTCACAATTGGAAAGGGTTGGCCAAAAACGCGTTAAAGCACATTGCCTGCCCCCTACCTAGGTATTTCAGATTGACCCATAATGAAGCAATTACAATTACCCCTGCCCAAATTGTTTCGTTTTACTTTTGTGCTGCCAAATGGGTCAATGTGACCCAATTGTCTCATTTTGGGTTAATTGGATCAAATTGACCCATTAGAATGTTCCATCCAAACGACCCCTAAGACAGAGTTCATTAATTATATGAACCAATAAGACATTCCAGTTGTGCTGGTGGAGAGACTAAATTACTCTATTCAACCTTTGGAGCATAGTTCACATTCTTTATAGGCTTCTATCAGAAACGTGTCTTTTTAGAGAGGGGGCTATTTCTGATATATACTATATACTGTCGGTCTACTCTGCTCTAGTGTTCTATGCTTGGCATTTTGCTTGAGTTGTTGATCGATCACTACAAAAATAAAATAACCCCTCAAGAAATTTCTTGTCACCCTCCCCATCCATTGGATTTGTCAGATTGGTTATTGTCATTTTCGATAAGTTTAAGTGTGTTTGTTACTTTACCGGCTCATAATTAACAAGCTTTTTGCTATTTACTATTCTTGAGTATTTTTTATTATAAGAGATTATCTTCTTAAACAAAATCAAGTTCAAAATAACAAGGATTAAAAGAACATATAGAAAATTGTACTGGAAAAATTAACGTTACGATACTTTATTCTAAAGTTACTAAAGTTATGGTTCAACATTTCATAATGCTAAAGACCGCCTACTGATTTAGTCTCCAGTAATTACTTTCTAAATTTCTTTTCCCAACATTATAAATAGATTAAAAGTTAGATATTATAAGTCAAGATAAGATACGATAAAAAAAGACTCACTTTTAATGCATTCAAAAATAGACCGAAACAAATCAAATAAAAAATGTCAGTCATATTTCGAAGAAAAACATGTGTTTACCCACTTATCTTTTCATTAATTAACTAAAGAAGACACGTTAGCATAAAATAACAAAACAACTCTATCCAACCTTTAGAATTTGGTCCAATATTATCTTTTTTTTCCATTGAAAACTTAGTTCTTCTATCATCCATATTAAACGTTCAAAACAACTTGAACTAACACAATACTAATCCTAGTTCTTACCATTCCATTTTATAAATCTTTCATAAAAAAACTCAAAAACAAAATCATATCGTTATGGATTCCCAAACCTCACGGTCTCATTTGCGAATTAATCCAAAACCAAGATAATAGCCGTCGTTATAACCGTAAGAAACCCACATGTCACCTTCCTCAACCCATCATTTTCACATGCTTCTTCTCTCTTTCCTTCCTTCCCCCCAACACAACACAACAATGAACTCTCCTCCAATGTCTCCCCTTCTCCTCTACCTCTCCCTCCTATTATCTCTAATCACCACCATAATATCCTTCCACCACCGCCGCCGCCACGTCATCAGCGGGCCACCAACATACCCTCTCATCGGCTGCATCATCTCCTTCTACAAGAACCGCCGCCGCCTCCTCGACTGGTACACAGCCCTCCTCTCCCAATCCCCGACCAACACCATCGTCATCACCCGCCTCGGCGCCCGCCGCACCATCGTCACCGCCAACCCTTCCAACGTCGAGTACATCCTCAAAACCAACTTCCCAAACTACCCCAAGGGGAAACCCTTCACCGACATCCTCGGCGACTTCTTGGGGTACGGCATTTTCAACGTCGACGGCGACGCGTGGCGGGCGCAGAGGAAGCTTGTGAGCCACGAGTTCACGGCGAGGTCGCTGAAGGAGTTCTTCATCACGACTCTAGAGGAAGAGGTGGAGAAGGAGCTGGTACCCATGATGGAGAGCTTGGCAGAGACCGAGAAAGCGGTTGACTTGCAGGAGTTGCTGAGGAGGTTGACTTTTAACATGGTGTGTAGGGTTTCGTTAGGGGTGGAGAGGTGTTGCTTGGACCCTAAGGAACCGGAGCAGCCGCTGAGCAAGGCGTTTGACGCCGCGTCGACGATCTGCGCCAGGAGAGGGGCGGCTCCGCTGGGTGTGGTGTGGAAGGTGAAGAGGTTGCTCGGAGTTGGGTCGGAGAAGGAGCTGAAAGAAGCCGTCGGGGAAGTTCACAAGGCGGTGAGTGAAATGATTGCTATTAAGAAAGAGGTCATGGGGAACAATAACGGTGATGATCAAGATCTTCTGTCGAGGTTGATCGCGGCTGGGTACGAGGAGGTGGAGATTAGAGATATCGTGATCAGCTTGATCATGGCCGGCAGGGACACGACGTCGGCGGCGATGACGTGGCTGTTCTGGCTGCTGTCGTGTCACCGGGGAATGGAGTCAGCGGTGGTGGAGGAAGCTACGAGGGCGGCGACGAGGATGGAGGGGTTGGAAGATATGAAGCTGTTGAAGGCTTGTTTATGCGAGTCAATGAGGCTGTACCCGCCGGTGGTGTGGGACTCCAAACATGCCGTCGTGGACGATTTGTTGCCGGATAATACTCCGGTGAGGGCCGGGGATCGGGTGACGTACTTCCCGTACGGTATGGGGAGGATGGAAGGGCTATGGGGGGAGGACTGGTTCGAGTTTAGGCCGGAGAGGTGGTTTGTTGATAATGAAGAGAAGAGTTGTGAGCTCAAAAGGGTGTGTCCGTACAAGTACCCAATATTTCAGGCGGGGCCAAGGGTGTGTTTGGGGAAAGAGATGGCGTTCGTGCAGATGACGTATGTGGTGGCATCGATTCTGCGGCGGTTTGAGATCCGGCCGGTGAGTCAAAAGAGGCCGGTGTACGTGCCGCTTTTGACGGCTCACATGGCCGGCGGCTTAAATGTTGTGGTCAAAAGGAGGTGTCAAAATAAAACTGAGACAAGTTGAGTGTAGTGGAGGGAGGAGATCATGATTTTTTTTTGAAAGTCAATGGTAACGATATTTTATGAGTGGATAATTGTAAAGTAACATGGAATTATTCTTCCATCATTCATCACCTCTCCAAAGACCAAACCATAGGTGTGGTTTTAGAAAATCAATGAATATGATTGCATATTAGTGGAGGAATGACCAATGTCACTACACTCATAGGGTTGGGATATTGATTTTGTTTTTTCGGTTTAAACCGAAATTAAATTGATAAGGTAGTTTTCTATTCCAATTCAGTTTTGTACTTTATTGATTTCGATTTAAATCGAAAACCATATAAGAAACCAACACAGAAAATATTAGGTGAGAGGTGCAGAGGGTATCAGTTTTGATTGAGGGTGTATGGATTTTGGTTTTCGATTTGTTCTAACTGAAACCGAACTCGTTAAGAGACCATCGGGTTCAATTTTGATTTTGGGGAAACAACCTAGTTTGATTTTTCGGTTTCTTAAAGGTTTTCGTTTGGTCAACCAAACCAAACTGGCACCCCTACTAAGCTCACTTCATATTAAAAATCAAGTCGAATATAATTCGTGTTAAAATCAAATCGAAAAAATCAAAGGATAAATGAATTCAATTTTGATTACATTGTTCCTAACTTTTGTTGTGTTGTATGAGTTTACATTTAAATCTAATTGAATGAAAGTTAAATAAAATTGAAATGAGTCAAATGTCTTATCGATCTAATTATGAATAATTTCACCAAATATATTTTATTTATGACCCGATTGATATCCATTTCTACATGTAAGATTTTGAACTAAATCAAATCATGTATGCCAACCATAAACAATGTTATCAATGATGAAAAGCCTAGACGGTGATCTAAAATTTATTAGGTCGAGAAATGAAAGGAGAAGATGCATGCTTTGGGACATAGCCTAGGCGACTTATTATTATTGCCTCACATGGGATTGGAGGAGCAAATTGGGGCTTTAATGGCCAAACAAACACGAGGAAACTTCTGGGGAGAAACAGTCTCAGTCAAGTCAGTCTTTGTTTATTTGTTTATTCAGTGCCCTACATACTGTCCCAACTCCAGAACTCGAAAACAAGACTCCTGGTTAGATTAAAAAATAAACGTGGGCGTGGACATGGTCCATCAGATCACATCTCTTCAAAGTTATTGATCCGGTCTTGTACAAACCAAGATCAGTTCTTGATCTGGGCACAAACGATCTTCATAAATTATGAAGGTCATAATTTGATTCATATACGCTAGTTTATGACAGTTTAGTCATCAATACCAAATACATTTTTGTACCGTCATTTATTTGGTTTTAGTGTATTGATTAAAAAATTTATTCAAATATATTAATAGTGTGAAAATTATATCTTTTTTTTTACAATTTTTAGTCTCGATAACTCTCAAAGAACGGATAGAATCATGAAAATTTGAAGGGATATAAAGTTTAAAAGGCAGGCGAACTGAATAAAAAAATATAAGATTTCCAACACTACCTGATATGCCAACATCAAAGACAATCTTATAAGAGGAATCGACCATAGTAATAATATATGTAGAAGATTAAAATATACACACAATACTCAGCATTCATGTTTACATAATACTCCATTAGCAATTTAAAAGGATTTAGTAACCTCTTTAAAATGAAAAGGCACTTTCTATCAAACTCAACTTTTTCATATTCTAGTATGAAAGGACAAAGCCCACCAGCTTTATCTCAATCATTCAACTTCAAGTGCCATAACTTTTTCCTTAATAAGTCTTTTTATCTTTCTAAATTCTAAATCATCCAAATACAATTTGGAAAATGTGGGGATGAAAAAGAAACTAATAATAAGACTACTACTAACTTGACTAAGAGTAAATTTTTCATGATATTTGTGTGTTATGCAGTATAAATGATTTTAGGTGGCTTTTACAGTCCAATCGGCTGGTAAGACTGAGCTTGAGTTAATCACACTCCGATGGGGAGGGCACTTGGATGGAGGAAGCGTACCTGAATTACAGGGCTAAGCTTCCAAATTGTTTATTCCATGTCTCGTAGACGCCCAACTCATTAAGTGAAACAGAGGGCCTTACTTCTTGTAATGCATTTTCAAAGTCCTACATAGGAAAACTTACCGTGTTAAAATACCAGCAATGTGAAAAGTAACTGCACTGATTTGTGGTAGTCAATTAAAGAGATGGTAGATTATACCTGAAGAGTAACGGGCCGCAAGTCCTCCTTTTGCAACTTAGTAATTTCTATTCCTTGTTTAAGAGCTTCCCTAAGGGGCCCCATTGATGCATCTTTCACTAAATTTTTCATGTCTGAACCCGAGTATCCTAGTAACCAAGCAAGCAAAAGCGAAGGAGTTGAGGATTCGGATATCGAGTTTGGCTGAGATGTATGGATGAATTGAGTGAGTACCTTCAGTGAGATTGCAGATGGTGTCCATTTCTTCCTGTGACAGCTTGAACAATCCATCTTTCTGTAATAGGTTACGTACTATCCAGGCTCTTGCTTCTGCTTCAAGAAACCAGAAGAAGGTCATGCTTTTTTTAGTGATTCAGAGTGAACAGGTTGTGAGAGATCAGATGGCTGAAAGTTTTGGAATGAACCTGATGAAGGCAAGGGGATATAGAGTCTTTTCGTGAGTCGCCTCCTTGCTGCTTCATCGAGTTCCTGAGGTCGATTTGTTGCCCCTGTTAACAAGAGGATAACTTTAAATGATAGTGCAATCAGTCGATCTCAAGAAAGAAATAACCACGGTCATGGCTAAGAATGAAAGGACTAAGCATCTGAACTGATGATGCTGAACAAAATTTTCCGTTTAAAAGCGAGTGGCACTGCTAAATAACTAAGTTCCAGTAATGTAAGATTATGTGTTTGATATAGGTCAAAAGATGCAGCATGGGGTAAATCGTTTTTCATTTCAACTCAACTGATGACAATGGTAATTCCAGAATTTGTTCATCATTCAACTGTGCCTGCAGCTGGGAACTAAATGATCGACTAAAATGGCTGATACTTGAGCATGTTTTGGCAGAGAACAAGACATGCGAAAGGAAAGACGTGCAGCAGAGAAATGAACCATTGAAGTGAGTGCCTTTCACAAAAACAGAAAAAGCAGTCCACCCAACAAAAGAGACACTGGCCTACTGACTTTTTGTCCTACATGTAAGCTGATATATATCACATGTAACACCATAGATAGTGAGAAATATAGTGAACACAGACGCAGAAAAGTGCGGGGAAGTGGTAAGCTGACTGCATGGAGAGCCGTCTATGTTGCTCCTTTTCCGTCTAGGTCTTTCGGTGGAAAAGACGCAGCAACTTTATCTTAAACCGCAATATGCATGATATATAGGGCTGTTAAGCATTTACCTATTAGTAGAATCTGCTCGTTACCACTGTCAAAGCCTTCCATCTCGATAAGAAACTGTGTTTTTAGGCGTCTACTAGCTTCATGTTCACCTTCAGACTTGCGCTGCAACCATATTCGAGGTATTCCCTTTATGTGAGAAAGGATATTCGCAACGAATGACCGCTTTCTGTTGCGAAAATGGAATATCATAGCTTTATACTAGTGGACTCTCACTAGTGGTGACTTGATCGCATGCATAAAGATAATACATTAAACATAGGTAGCCCGATGTGTCACTCGCCTCTAGTTCACCTTATCCCATAAATTGATTTTTCTAAGTGCAAAAAACTAAAACTAAAACATGGGGGGAGGAACGAACGATACCTGGGACAAAAGAGAATCTATCTCATCAACAAAAATTACAGCTGGCTGACGACAAAAGGCAACACCAAATAGGGCCCTCACCAGCTTTTCACCCTCACCAAGCTGTACAAATTGTTCAGAGATTCATTTGCTAAAGCTTGTCAAAGATCCAACAGTTGTTTATAACGTCAAAGGTTGATCAATGCATACCCATTTGCTGGTTAAGGAACTGGCGGATATAGAGAAAAAAGTAGCTTTTGCCTCCCCAGCTATGGCTTTCCCAATCATTGTCTTCCCAGTCCCCTTTCAAGATGAGAGCGTGTCCAGTAAGATAAGAAACAGCAAGTCTCCATTATGTTTTAACTACAGGTAGTACGTACCGGTGGACCGAATAGAAGAAGACCTCTTCCTGGAGAACGACAGCCTTTAAATATGTCAGGTCGCAGCAGTGGCCAAATCACCATTTCAGTAACACACTTCTTAGCATGATCCAATCCAGCTGCAGTGTTTTCAAGTAAGCCATATGAAAAGTCTAGAAATTGCAACAGTAGCTAAGTATAACAAAAGGACTCGAGTCTCTTGTGTTACCAATATCATCCCACCGAACATTAGGATCCCGCTCCATAATTTCATTGCTGACATGCTCAATAAGACTTGGTTCCAAGTTTCTCAGTTTTTCAGGAAGCTCGCCATCTGGACCACATAGCAGTTCCATACTAACATGGACGGATCACGCGTTAGAATACAGAAAGCATCCCTACATGTTTGTCTATCTGACAATTGTACTGGAAATCTTGCAGTGCTGAAGAAATGATATTTTCAGCATTGGTACAGTCCATCATAATTATGGGATAATGCAAAACACCACAGATGGTTGCATCATGGGTTTGAAAGATATATATCTCGTGTGTGATTGACAACATATGCTGATTTAGCTTACCATCTCCTAGTTGAGTTGTCGTTCTTTCCTTGAAGTCCAATCGCATTTCCAGGGTGATATCCCCCATTTGATTTTATTGGAGGAACAAAATTTCCACGGGTTCCACGGTTTGAGTACCCATAAGATCGTGCACCATAACCTCGGTTCATGACATTGCTCTGGGGGGAGAAGGATGCACTTGGTGATCCTTTCAACCCTTGCTTTTGCCTTGCATCCATTTCCTATTACCAATTGGAGACAGTGTGACTTTAGTTTGAAGAGCTTATGTGAACTAGAAGTAGAGAGGACAAAATGAAGACGTGAGTTTTCAGCCACAACAATGTTTCAATATCATCATGGACAAAAGTTAAAATGACACTTCACATCTATGCTGGAACACTAATCGAGTCTTGAGATAACTATCTCCTTCTTTCGATCTCACAACTAGTGAAAATATGAGAAGCGTAAGAGTTGCAGAAGAGAACGCATACCAGCTTTGCCCTTGCAGTTACAAATCCCTTGCCAGAATCATCCACATTTGACTCCTCATCACATGATGGCGACTTTGGAATGTCATTTCTAGGGCTATTAATCTCAATGAACGAGCGCTTTGACCCTGTTGAATTTCCATAACCCTTTTCTCCCTCATTAGCTTTCCCATTGTTTGGCTGACCACCATTACTTCTAGGATTAGTATACTGGGTACTTTTCACTATCATGCAATCCGCATTCGAGTTACTTTTGGAAACAGAAGAACCTCGTTGTAAGCGGCCATAGGCCTTTGTGACATTATTTCCATACAGTGATGTTAACTTAGCCTGCCCCGAAACTTTTGCAGGCTTGCAGCTGGGGTTTTGCTGCTTATCCAGCTGGTTTCCCTGGAAAGAAGAAGAGATACGATCGATATCATATCACATGTTCACAACAATACTCAATTTTAAAACAGGATACAAGACATCACGCTTCTATGCAGATAGACTGAGCTAGAAATTCAATATACTGATTTGGATGGCAAACTTATGACCAGAAAAACGCATTCAATTCATTGCCATTGGTCAACTAAGATATACCACTCAGAAATTCAAGAATACAGAGAAATCTCGGTTCGATTTGCACTCTTACCAGATCTGATGGATGCTTGATGTTCTGTTGCTGAACAAGAGCTCGGAAGTATTTCGACTTCTTAATCTTCTCTACGTCAATGTCAATCTTCTTGCCAAATACTTTTCCAGGAGCTGTATCTGCTCGCTCAAACGCTCGCCTAAACCAAATTCCAAATACCGATAACTGAAATCACGAACTGATTCGAAATCCCTAGAACGTGCTTACAGCGAAATAGAATACGACGAACTATCGGAGAAACGGAAATTTCGAATCGTTTTACCGGTCGGATTCAGGAACGAAAGCTCGGCGAGCGGCGTCGAGCTTGGAGAGGGCTTCGCGGCGGATGGGGCGAGTAAGAGCTTCGTCGACGTCAGTGAGAGAGTGCGAGTCGAGGAAGCCGAGGAGGCGGAGACCGAGCACGTAGGCGGTGGAGGAATCGCCCTTCTCCAGTGCCTGATCGGCGCCGAATTGGAGGGAGTGAAGGCGCTTGAGGTTGTCGTCCACTTGCTTGCGCCAGGACGGCTGAGCTTTTTCTCCCGAGTTCTCCATTTTCGAATTTTTGAAGTGGAGTAAGAATTAGTGACTGACACTGGTTTCTGCCCTCTCCCGCCAATTCTTGTCTGGTATTTATAGGTCCGGGTGGCTGGAAAGAGGAAGTTCTCCATGGGCTGGACTGCACACCAAATTGCATATCCAATGTCTATATCGCTTTACGTTTGTGCTTTCTCTAAGCCGAGCCAGGCCTGGTGTATTTTTATAATTTGGGCTTTCTCTATTACGACTCTTACGAGCCAAGGGTTTGTGTATAGGATGAAATTTAGTGAAATTTGACCTCATTCTGCTTTGTCAAACAAGGATGATCCACAATTCCACATTCTTTAGGATAAATCATAAATCTAAACCAAAATTATCATCCAATTTGTTAATCTTTGTTTAACCACACTGGTCACTGGAGATAGAATCAATGAAACTAAAGATTTGCAAAGACGGAGAGAACCAGATACTAAAAAACTCTAAAATAACAATACAATCATATCAACCTTTAGCAGGCACAGACTCATCACAAGTACATGGTAAAATCATTATGACTAGCCAGTATCAAAATCACTGCAACCAACAACTCCTTAATGTATCTGATAAATTAACATGTAAATGATTTCGGTCAACTTCTGTTTGCTACTATATCTCACGACAGTCCCAGGCAAAACAAAAGGCGAGAAGGGAAGAAAAGGGCTACGAACCTCGCCACCTTTCTGCCATTAACACAACTGCCAACGAACTACATTCTGATTCTGGGATCCAATACATGTATAGAATAGACCCACAAGCATAATTCCTATTTCAAGAAAGAGCTACAGTGAAGAGCAGAATTCTGGTTATACAAGCATGGAGCGATTCCTCTTCCTCTCAACAAATTTGGATCATAACTTAAAACATCCTAGGTTAAATCATCCACCACTTAATGAGCAAGCAAGATGGAAAACCATTTTATAAAATTATGCACTTCCAGGAGCTTCACTTCCTGCAGCAGGCTTGCGGTTCAAGTATCGGATTACAGCGTCTTCAACCCTGCACAATTCGCCAAAAAAAAAATCAGTTTTGAATAGAAAGGTTGCATGGACGTACAGGTCATGATTACATCATCCTATTCTCCTATATTCCTACTGCATCCAAATTTCAGCTATATTCCTAGGAACATAACATTTCAATTTCAAGTCTTTCTTCTTTTTCCTCTTTCCAAGCGGAAGGCAGTAAAGAGAGAGTACACAGCACAATTGAACCAACCAATTCGTGAATAGATGCAGCAAGGGCAATGCAATAAACCTAAGGAGATGACTACGCAGGGTTAAATCAGTTCATCTACCATATCTAGATATCAAGATTCAAGAAGAAAATTTAAGTGGACTCTTACCATGGTTGATTGAAAAACTCTGCTCGGCGTTCCTTCTCAACACTTCGACTGGCTTCTCCAGCTACAAGCTTCAAGTCCTTGCTTTGTGATTCAATTAAAGCATTAATAAACTCAACTGGTGATTGACTAAACCCAAGAAAGAATGCTCGTCTTCTACGATGCTCATGAATTTTCCTGATGGCACCACATATTGATTCATCACATGCATCAATCTCCTTGTTCTTCTCCGCATTCGCTAACAATGCTGTCAATTCCCTTTGAATTGGGAATGGCACATCTACCAACACGTCATAGCAGGCTGTCCCCACAGGACTATTCCCCGAGAGCTTAATCTGATGTTCTAAATGGATCGGTTGTGGAGGAAACAAATGCTGAGATATCTTCTGTGATACCATAGTGAACTTCACTTTTGCCTCCCCAAATACTTTTTGAAGAGGTGGATCACAGTTAAAGAAAGCAGGGTCATCTGGGCTGTGCAGTTTCCTAGCTTTTACATAATGCCAGATTGCAGCAATTATTCTAGGGCGGCTTTCTACCTCGATACCAAGAACTTCTGTCAAAGCTGGAGATAGCTTAAATTTCTCAGGCGCATAATTCATATCCAAGCGAATATGAACAGTGAACTCGTTCTCTCCTTTCCTCTTCACTTCAAAACCTTCATGTGGAGCAGGCGAGCGAGCCTGCTCCCATATGATCATGTGATTATCTGGATATAGTCTTTGATCTAATGATATGGTCACTCTCTTGAAGAAAGACGAGAACTTTGGTAACAAGGGATTCGGTTTCTGAGCAAGTACACCAGGCTGGTCAGGATCCACTCCATCTTCCAAAATCCTCCCAACAATTTTTAGAGTCCAGGAAGGAGGTTCGGAATTCGGTTTATTGGGAATTGTTTTGATCTGGTTGGCAAACGTGTTGAAGACATAGATCCTCAGTGTTTTCTGAACAGATGGAGGACTCTTAAGTGCCTCCTGAATATCAACTTTCTTCCTAGCTAGAGCAGCATCAACACGGGACTCAAATTCGAGAAGCTGCGTATAAAGTGCAGACTCTGGAAGAATCCCCGCCACTCTCTCATGCAGCTGCTTCTCTGGCACCTTCTGCTTCTTCTTACGATTAGCTGGAGTTAAATCCATCATTTTGGGAGGAGAGACCATGTTGTTCATGGGAATACCAGGAGGTCTTCCCAGTGGTTTCTGACCAACCCGCTTTGCACTGCTGGCCAAGCCAGGGGTGCCAAATGAAGTCGAGGAGGAAGTCCCGAAGCCTCCTCCCATCCCGGCATTCTGGCCCTGATTGAGGGAGATCCCCTGCGCTTGTAAATGCGCTTGGAACTGGGCGTGTGCTTGAACCTGAGCAGCATGGGCTGCTTGTGCTTTCAGCTGTGCTTGGACGCTAGCTTGAGCTTGAGACAGCTGCTGGAACTGGTTCTGGAACCCTACACTAATCTGTCCCTGCTGCTGCCCTTGTGACTGTGGGAACCCTTGATTCGTAGGCACCGGAGATGAGTTGAGTATCCCAACATTCCCAAATGGAGATGAAGACTGCCCCAGGCTCTTTGGCGGGTTGTTGTTATTGCCACCACCAGACATTTGGTTTTCAACTACTCACCTAACCTCTAATAAGATAACTCTAAAACCTAGCTCCACAGCAGTTCAGCCCTCTGAATGGCCAACAGGCAACAACGCTCTACATAAACAACTGGAAACCGAGTATTGGGACCATATAACTCACAGGATTCCTCCCCACTGAAGTAGAGGAAATCAACATAAATCACCCAGAAAACACTCCCCGCTGCCAGAAATGAAAACCTACATAAACCAAATCCCTAAATTCGTTCCCGCGGAAAGCCAATCCCAATTGAAAACAGGCAGCTTCCACTTTGTTCAACTGGGAAGAGGAGCAGAACGAGGCTCAAAGTATCAGAAATTCTGCAATTTGCACAGACTGTATTGAAAATGACAGCTGAGGGGGAGGACAAAAGAGAGAGTCTGGAATGGAGAATTCGAAGATCTTACTCTGGGCAGAGCAAAAAAAAAATTGCGAAAGGTGCAGTGGATTCAGTTGAGTTGTGCAGCTGCGCTTGATTCTTGCTGCTGAAGCAGAAGGGAGAAGAAGAGAGAGAGACCTTCCTTTTCTCCTCCTTTTGCTTCTCTTTCTCTCTCTGGATTTGTTTTCTTCTCGTTTTCGTCTTCCGTTTCTCTATCAGAGAGCTTCTCCGTTGGGTGATTTCTCGACCGAAGAGAGAGAAAGAGAGAGTGTGGGATGGGATGGGACGAGGTTCATACGGGCCTGGGCTTACTGTATGGGCTGGTAACGTACCGAGTTACCGGGCCTTCAGCGGCTAAGAGCTTCGCTTGACTGGGCTCAGGGGTCCTGGCGCATCCCTTCCCTCTGAGAATGGGGAGAAAGCCCAAATGAAACGAATAGTCGTGATAGTGAGTTTAATTTGGCTATATAAATAATTTCACATACAGTGAGAATATTTTAGGTTATCCTGATATATGATTTGGAGAGGATTATTGTTAAGACTAATAAAAAGATTGAAATTTTAGTGTGACAGACGATACCCAATTATCAAGGAGATGGAGAACTTAAGAGTAGTGGTTAGATCATATCTAAGCCACAATTTTAAGAGTAGTTGAATAGAAGAAAATTGTCCTCTTTGAATTTTGGAACAAAAATGGTCGTGTTGGAATGTAGTAGGTTCTGATAGGATGAGCGAGACATACAAGGAGCACTCTTGCATGGAATATCAAATTAGGTAGAAATTGCAATTCATGATAGGTGGTGTATGAATCTTGCTAACAAAAGCATTTGTCTTGGTATCAATGAGTTGTACGTTCAATTCTTACTTGTTGGACTGCTTTTGTTGAAATTAATAGATGTGTCCTCATTGAAAATCAAGTAACAAGAAGATTAATTGTTGCAATTTTTTTTATCGATAAACCGATTTGTTAAACTAACCAAAGCATATGAGCAGCGACGGATCTAGGGGGGCCACCCCCGGGCCACGGCCCAGCCCTCCCTTGATCCGAAGCTAGTATAGTACTTGTAAATTTTCGATGGTGTTCGTTTTGGTGTTCGTTTCAGTGTTCGTCGTGTTACGGCCCGGCCTTCTCTGACTTTTTCCAATGTGGCCCAGTGCTCTACCTACTTCTGGATCCGCCGCTGCATATGAGAGAATAAAAACACTACAACAATACGTACATGTAGCCACAAAAACATAGCTACAAATAATATTTCTTAGCTAATAATAAGTAGTTGCTTCAAAAATCCCCTCTTGCAGCTATTGATATTTATTCTTGTCACAAATATGATTGTCGGTAGCTAATTATATAATTTTGTTTTGAAGTTTATACATCATGGCTATAAGTACCATATTAGCTGCAAAGCTTTCGCTACTATTAAAATATTGTAGCTAATTGGTATATTCAGCTTAAGGAAATAACTATTTATGGCTATTGATAATCGTTCCAGTCACAAATAGAATTCTCCATAGCTAACTCTGTCGTTTTATTCAAAGCTTACAAATCATAACAATAAATCAATTTTTAGCTACAAGAATTTTTCTACTGTTAGATTATGGTAGCTAATTGACTTGTAGCGAAACTAATTTCATCATACTAGTTCGAGC